GAGGAAATATAAAATTTGAATAGCACCTGTTAAAGAAAGTATATTCCTAGCTTGAAAACCTACCTATATGACAACAGGCTCATATACATCTTAACTGATAAATTACATCACACATTTAAAGCAGAAAAAAAAGGAACACTTCCCTCATTTTAGGAAATCAACATTGTGCTAATCCTAAAATTGGATAATGGAAAAAAATTATGAACATACATAGAAATTTGTTTAACAAAACAAACTATTAGAAGACAGATCTGGCAGGATGTAGAGTGGTTTTATTATAGGGATGGCAGTGTTGGTTCTTTGCTTTTATTTTTTGGTACTAGGAACCGAACTCTGGACCTGTGCTTGCCAGGCAGGTGCGGCACCACTGAGCTACATCCTGAGCCCCTCTTTGCTTTTGTATGAAGGGTTTTATTATTTAAGATATACCTGATGTCTTCCATATAAATAGATCATTTATAGGTTATTTAATCCTACAAAGGTAAGAATTTCTGGATCATTTATGATGTTCTTTTTCTCTAAACGCTAAAATTACGATATATTTGCAAGTATGTTTGAGAATAATGTTACAGGATGTGCCATTTTTGGATAAAAAATTATTAATATATCAGTCAGTTGTCTTCAGTTTTGGCAACCTTTATTAGAAGAATATTGTGATTACTCATTGTTTCAAGCAAAGACAGTATGTATGCACAAATACTGTCAACATGGGGCACCTCTAGCAATGATAAATTTTATAGTCAATACGAACAATTGAAATAGATATTATGCTTCATTATTTCTAGTTTATACTTCATCTACTATAATGAAAAGTGAAAATATTAATAATGAACTTATAAGCAAGAGTTATTATAACCAAGTTCAGACTTACAGATGTAAGAACAATTACACTGTATCACTGCTTCAAAATTTTCTCCTAACCACTGTAATTATAAATAAGGATTAATCTAACCTTTTCATTCTGGCTAATGAACTCTGCAGGGATTAAAACAAAGGATGGGTGGTTTGGTTAATGATGATTATTTAGTTGACTCTCACTCTTAAAGCCCTAGTAGAAGGTACTAAATGCCAGAGATGTTTCCTCTAAGCTTACTGAAGCAGCAGGTGTGCCAAGTTGTCATTAGGAATGGAAATGTACCAGTAGTGTGGCAGGCTTCCCAATCTGCCCCCAGAGCCAGCAATGAGCATCAACTGAGGAACAGCATGGTTGGTCTGATAGTCAAAACCTACCTAAGATCTTGGATAAAATTCATCATTACATGCGAAAGACAGATGCCAAATAAGACAATTATTTTCTTGAGTTTGAACCACGGCACTTATTTAATAAGTACCCAAATGTTAATATTGAAAGGAAGCTTCTCTTACCTTAGTGGTCTCCCAGCAGGTATTCTGACAATTTAACATTCCAGAACATTTAAGGGTTCATGTCTTTGTTCTTAAATATTTTGTCTAAAATTATAATACACTGCCAAAAAAAGAATAGTAATCCCATCATGATGGTCACTGGACAACCTTCTATTCTTACTCTCTCACTCCTTAAATTCAATTTGTCATTCACATTGCTATGCTTTTTTAATTTGTGTTCATGCCTGTTTGACCAAATCAATTACCTGTTTAAAATTATTTAGTATCTCCTCTCCCTTTCACCCTCCTATTACGTATGGGAAATTTCAACCTCAGTATAGCCTGGTCATGAATTTTATAAGCTGATCCTTACTAATCAAAAATTTAATGTTGTTTTAAAGAGCAATAATACCAATTATTTGTAATTTGTAATCACTGAGCTACCTTCTCATTGTCTTTATGAAACTTTTCCTTTGAGCTGGCTCATTAGGCATTTTTATAGATTTGATTAACAAAATGCCAGGGGGAAGACTACTACAGCATCTACCTCCTCTTTTCTTCCTTCCTTCTTTCCTTCCTTCCTTCCTCTCTTCTTTCCTTCCTTCTTCTGTATCTTGTCTGTCCAACTGTCTATACATCCATCAATACATTCAGCTAACTTCCTGTTGCAGCAAAATAGATGTTACAAATGTACCTATAAAATGATATGGTTCTTGATTCTAAGAATAAGGGATATATATAAATAATATACAATTATATAAAAATATATAAATTCTAAAAGTATTACTATAGAAAAGCAATTTTCTTACATGCTTTTTGACCCACATGGTTAAGTAGAAAATAGTCATAGTTAATACCTTATATACAACATCTGAAAGTCTTTGATAAACAAAGAAATATGAAAGTGTATTCTGTCATAATTCCATTACCACAGTAATAATCTCCTAAAGAGATTAAATACATATTCAAAATCTTAATACATTTCATTCTGATTATTTTATTTCAAGTATTCTTTTGGTGTAGATTCTTTAGAGGGCAGAATAAATAGTATATTTATGTTGCCATTTATTTATTTAAGAGGGGATGTTTTAGATTGGCTGGAGGCTGAATAGTCTGGCCTTCAGTCTGGAGACCTGGGGAAATCAGTAGCTTCTCATTCTGAGAAGTTGGAATCCTCAGAACAAGAAGTGCCAATGAGAAAGCTCCAATTTGAGGTTGAAGGTTTGGAAGCAACATGGAGCATCACTGGATTGAGTCTACATTTGGGGCGGGTCATCCCCTCCTTAGTGTGCTGCCTCCACACTGATGATCTTCATAGATACACCCAGAAGCATGTTTTATTAATTTTCTCGATCCAGTCAAGTTGACAACAAAACTTAACCATCCAAGGCGTAATCACAAATACAGATGCACAAATGCATCAAAATTAGAAATGACTTAGCGTTCAACAGAGAATTATATTATGCTTTAACCATGTAGCATAATATTCATTCATTAAAACAAGAGAAAGGCATAACAATAAAATATGATAATATTCAGTGAAAAAAGTTTTTAATATATACACATATAAAGTTTTATCACATCTTTGCTAACTGATATTACAAGAATCAAGTGATAGACATTACAGTGAACTATTAGTAATTGTGACACTGGGTAGTAATACCATTTTTTTACTGTTTTCACCATTATTTACTTTTCAAATTCTCTTTAGCATCTCTATAAATGTTATAATTAAAAAATAGACTTCACTGTAACAGGAGAATTAAGGAGAATCCAGGGAATGTGGAAATTCCACAGCAGAGCTTAGAGCATTTGAAGATTTTCTTATAATCTTCCTAAATTTTCTCTTCTTTACTTATAAAGACAGTTTTGCAAGGAACCATACAAATTAAATGATAAAATCTACAAATAAATTCTATAATTTTAGTAGATTTGAAACAGATTATCAGGCAGTTCAGTTTGGAAACATGCAACAACTTCCTTACTGATAGATAGCTTAATAAATTCTGTTAGTAAAAGTTCTCTCAACGAGTTAAAATCATGCCTTCTTCTCCTCATCTATTAGAATTTCAAATACATTCAGAGACACATCATCTTATCCAAGTAAATAAATCAAAGGAACACTAAAATTATCTTTTATTTCTCACTGGAGGCTACTTTTTGTTTGAACTTTCCAAGTTTTGAACTGGGATTTACTGATCATTTTCTCATTAAAAATTGAGGAGGTCATGTAATTTTTATATTTCTCTGCAGAAAAATTTTCACCAACATTAGCAGTCAACTGTTATGAAACTTTTCATTCAGAAAATCTAAAGGAGCTTTGCAAATGTGTTGATTCATCACAAGTATTTCTGAGATCGCTTGTGTAATCAGCTACACCTTTCTGATTACGTAGCTCACCTTAAGTCCCAGTTAATATGGAAAACAGACAAGAAACAATTGCCACAAAATTACCTCCCACAAAGCAATTTTCTCAGGAGACAAATTGAATTTTGGGATCAAATGGCGAAACCCAAAGTCTGTGCTTTAGCAATAAAAAGAAAATACAACATCTCCATAAAAATTATACAATTATGTAAACATTTCTTTATCTAGAAATGAGTCCTGCATGTGTTTTACATCATATTAAATTGAAAGACATCATAATACCAATAACAATGACAAAATGTCCAGTGCTTTTTGTGTTTACCTAATTAGCAGTTGTTTTAAAAAATATTAAATGGATAATTCCATTTAATTGTAAAGAAATATCATCAAAGCACACCACACATATGAAAAGCTCACAAATCACAGGTAAAAAGGTTGTAATAGTCTAAAAAAAATACCTTGTAATAATCACCAATATAAATAAATAGAACACTAGCAGCACCTATAAAGGAAGTTGATGGTGTCTTACACTAATTGTCTTCTCTGCAGAGCAATCATTGTGAATTCCATCAATAGATAAGCTTCTATTTTATGTATGATTAAGTGGCTGAAATTTCCATCCCACATTATGTTTGTGAGATTCATCCAGATTTTTGTGTTTAGGCAGAATTTATTAGTTTGTATTGTTTTCAGCCCTTAGTGCAGGGTCTAAATCCATAGCAAATACCTTGAGGAACAGGCTCAAATCCTTGACTCATTTTCTTTCTATCTTATGTCTTCCAAGCATCTTTGCTTTTCAAGTTCTGCTTGCTTTGAGAGCCCAAAATTTCATTTTTACCTTCTCTACCTGGTAAAATTGTTAAAAGTTCTTTTTTTTTTCTTCCTAGCTTAACCTTATACTATGTACTAATTAACCCCCTAGGGGTACAGTGGCATGCAGAATTCAGTTTCCCTCAATAAACTCTTCTCTCTTGGGAATCTCGACACCTTAACCGCTGAGTCCTTCAGCAGCTTTACAATATCTTCAAAAAATAATTTTTATTCAGTGTGATTTGTATGTTTTTGATGAAGGTGTTGGTCTGCTGCTTATTTCTGTTACAGTTTATAAAACCTAAATGGGGTAAATTCTAGTATAAACATTTAAAATACAGGAGGATTCAGACATAGGAAGCCTAACCAAGGTAACAGAGTCAGTGAACAGAAAATCTGGCTTTTGAATTCAGGTCTGTATGATTTTAAAAGCATTTTTAAAATGTTATAAGAGATGTGATCGAAACATAAGGTGATATTTGAATTTCAAGAGTTTATTACAGTAAAAGACACATTGTCATTAATCATCCACAAAATAGTTCCTCCCCTTCCAACATACTTATCCATCATTCTTGGCATTTCCTGAAGCAGTTTTGGAAGTCCTGTTTCATGAATGTCTTTATGAGGCGTGGTGAGAAATATGGTGAATGCTGCTACCAAGTGCCATCCAACAGAAAAGCAAGCTCATGAACACATTATGGTGTATCCTCATCCTAATCCTAATTCATGAGATCTGACAACGTGCAACTTCTGGCTTCTCCTTAAAGTTGAAACAACTGTGAAATGTAAACATTTTGAACTGATTCAGGACACAAGGCAAACATGATAACACAGAGACTCACCAAAGAGGACTTGCAGAACTGCACTGGAAAGTGGCAAGAACATGGGGATAAGTGTATTTGCAGAGAGATGGAGTATTTTGAGGGGGATTACTGGCAACGTGTCTTCTACTTGTTAGATTTTTTAAAAATTGAAATATTCCTATATTTTTTATCACACCACATACTTTTACTGTCATAATTTAGTGTCTCCAGTTGCCACATATGTATAACATTTTATTAATTCACTATGAATAATTTATAATTAAAAGGGAGAATAGACAAACATTTTTTAAAAAAACAACTTCCATCTTCAAAGTGATTCACAAGAACAAGTGACACACTTCCATGCTTGCCGTGGACCCCTCCTATGTTAGGGATTCTCAAGTTGGCACTGTGACACTTTGTCTTAGCCAAAAGGCCGAGAAGTGATCAAGTTGGCACTATTTTTTTTTTTTTTTGGTACTGGGGATCGAACTCGGGACCTTGCGCTTGCGAGGCAGGCACCGGAACCACTGAGCTAAATCCCAGGCCCCAAGTTGGCACTATTGACACTGGAGTTAACACTTCTTTGCTAAATCTGTCCTGTACATCGGACAGCGTTAAACATCATACCCTCTAGATGCCATAGCATCCCCCAGTTGTGACAACCAAAGTATCACTAGACAATGACAAACGTGTCTTGGGAGATAAAATCACATTCAATTGGTAACCTTTGACCTGGAGTGAAAGCAGGTTGCCTCTATGGTTTCACTCTTATATCAGTCTCATAATGTGTTCCCTTGTCCTTGGCATAACCACTTAACAGTTTACTCCAGTGTCACTTAGGCAGCCCATTTGTTTACATACTAGGTATCTTGAGTGTGCTGGGGCAGGTGTCATTTCAACCATTCAATTCCTGTATTGAATAAAGTTGATAAAATTGTCATTTTTATATTTCTTGTTATATTACCTTATAAAAATTAACAAAAATATGCAACTTCTGGTCATTCTGTATTTAAATAATTAGACCGGTAAGTGTTTAAACTGAAAAGTACAACTTTGTTTTAAAATTTCCATTATATCTGGAAAACAATAAAACTTAAATTTAATGTTACTTGCAATGGAATCAACACATTCCCAAATAAGAGAAAATGGATGAAAATAGTGGTAAGTGTGGCACTGATTTTCTCTTTTTCTGAATAAAAAAATCTATAAAATTATAAATAAATTGCCAAGTTCAGCACAGCTTAGCCTTGTCTTTCATAATTCCCCACACTGTGCTTAGAAAAAAAAGAGTTTGATTCCTACTGAACTTTTATCCAAATTTAGTTAAAAAAGCAATATAATTCTTCCTCTGGCTCTCTGCTATTCCCCTATCTCTCACATCATCACTCTTTTTCTTTCCTGCATTACAAGTTTCTCTTTCTATTTTCAAGAGGGTTGGAAACTGTCACTTAGGCTGCAATTATGAAAAATGTGCTATGAATTTATTTCAACAAAGCAGTAATATGAGGTATGAATGAAAAATGCGGTGTGTTTAAATTTTTAAAAAATATTACAGTAAAGACACATTGCCATTAATCTCCCTCAAAATACTCAACCTTGCTTCAAACACATTTATCTCATTGTTCTTGCCACTTTCCAAAGCAGTTCTGGAAGTCTTCTTTTGTAAGAGTCTTTAGTTGTGCTGCCATGGCTGTCTTGATGTCCTGAATCCATTCAAAACATTTACCTTTCAGGGTCATTCTGACTTTGTGCAAAAGCCAAAAGTCACAAGGTCCCCAATCTGGTGATTAGGTTGGATGAGGACACACCATGTTTTTATGAGTCTTCTTTTGTTCACTGAACAGCATTCTGTGGCAGCATTCGCTAGATTTTTGATTAAAACTCATAAAGACATTCATGAAAAAGGTCTTCTAGAACTGCTTCAGAAAGTGGCAAGAATGATGTTCTAAGTGTGTTTGAAGTGAAACGGAGTATTATGAGGGTGATTCACAGTAATGCCTCTTTTACTGTAATATTTTTTAAAAATTTGAACATTCACCATACATTTCCATCATCCCTTATAGTTGAGACCCTTAATGTGTGAGGTCATTTCAGCCTGGATTTAAGTTAACTTGTCAAGTAATTTCATGTGGTTACTGAGGATAGAAACTTTTGGATATTCTATTTTAATTTCTAACTTTTAACACAGGGGTTAACATGATGTAAAACTACTGCTAGATGTTATCTGTCATATACTTTCAATACTGATTTCCAAAAAACATATTTACTTGAATACATGTGCATGCATGCGTGCGCACACACACACACAAACACACACAAACACACAACACTGTAATGTGCCTCCAAGATCTCTCCTTTGGTGAAGGACTTGCTATCCCAAGTATAGCTATTGCATTTTAGAGGTGTTCTGTGAGCTATATTTTCAGTTCTTATCACACAATAGCATTACCATGTTAGTTACTCTTACATTTTCCAATAGATATCCAACAGTAATTTTTAAGATAAATTCAAAGAAGAATAGAAAGCTACACAGACAAATATGAACATGTTGGGGTGTGCAGATATTGAAAAGGAGTGAGGCTGAAATATACATGTTATACATACATATGATCTTGTTTAAAAAATAAAAAACTCATTACACATAAAGGCATAATCTTCTGTATGATGAGCAAAGTCACAATTAACTAATTCAAAGAATGTAATTACCAGATTTACTACTTATGCTATATACCTGCATTATGTACACTAATGAAGATTTGCTTTTTAATCTTTGGAGAAAGCAGAGATTCATGGATAAATGTGTTTATTTTAGCTATACTCTGCATGTTTTCCTTTCCTTTTTTAACCTGTAATCTGTCTGTTCCTTTCAATACAACAATTAAGTAAAAACTGCAAAATAATACAAGTGAAAGAAAATAATATGACAAATTTGTACTATATACAATATACTGTTAATGAATATAAAATCCTCCAGGATACTATTTGGGTTTGTTTACAGCCAGTATGCTGTTTACATGCAAGGCATCTCATTATATTTGATTTTTTCCTGTCTATGCCTATGTGGTTTTCCTGCCTGGACACATGTTATACCTTATTGAAAGGTATAATTTTCATTCATTTCATGGTCAAATGAAAATGATTTCATGATTTCAAAAACTCTGCTGTTATGCTCATGCTGAGTTAGATTTCTTTCCTGTAGCCCTTAACTACATCTCCTTCAGAAACCTACTGTGGTACTCACTCTACTGAATTACAATTGACAGTTTACTCATCTGCTTCTCCAAAGTGTGTATTACAGTTAGGTGAGGATTTACCTTAATCCTATTATATATTAAGGGGTTAATAAATAAATAAAAGAAAGAAGGAGAAGATGAAGGAAATGTTAAGTTTTCAGTGTAAGTGTACAGGCAGACTGATGTGCTCTAACAAAAGCTAGTAAAACACTGCTTTAGAGGTCCTTTGAAATTACATAAACAAAGATAGTACATCCTAAATTTTTTACTTTAAAAACTGCTAATTTCTAAGACAAAAGTAAAATATGTATGTGAGGGTTCTGGAAAAAAATTCTCATCAATTTTCCTCTACCTTCTCTTTTGCCCTCTTCATATATACATTTTTTTCTTTATGTTCCACATTCATCTTCAAAGAGAAAATACATGAAATCTCTAAGTATCTATAATGCTCCATAACAAACAAGATGCCAGCCATTCATAACCTAGAAGAATCTTTGATAATCAAACAGAGATTCAGCTCTCTAACTATAGACCTTACAATTTTACCTAAAATGCCTCATTTATGTATCACTGCCCTACCAATATCAGAATTGGCTTATCACCGCCCCCCGCCCCCAGTGAAGGAGTATTTGCACTTAGACATCTACTAAGTTAATCTGGCTGGTTGTGTTGTAAATATTTAGTGTCAAGGGTCTAAAATTGCCAATGTTTATACACTTTTACACTTAATGCCACATTTTGCTTATTTTCTAGTACTAACATTCTGCAGTATAAGTTGAATTCTTAACTATTCTAAGTGGGAGATAGTTTGGGGGCTGTACTATGTGTAGACATTTTTCACAGACATACAAGGGAACATTGATATGTTGAATGTATAATATTGAGCAAAAATCTTTCCTAGTATTTAGTAATATTAATCTCCCTGTAATCCAATTCATAGCTGATGGCAACTTTTAGGGGCTCTTCACTCCTGGCAGGGTAGGTCTGCAGATTGCTATGGAAGCAAACTGCAACAAAATAAATGGCACTAGGAAGCCATTTCCAACCAAATTTTTATTTCCAACAAATATTTGTAAATATTTGAACTTTCATTTTCTTGCCCAAATTGTAGGATGCATCTCCTTATCTTTATTTTGGGGTGAAATTCAACAGTAATTCACACCACACATCTTTCTTCAGATGCAATTCAAAAATCAAATAAACCTTTTCTTTTCCTATTCCTTCAGAAATAGTAGAGGAGGAGAAAGTGAAATAATTTTATGCATCTGCAATTGGTGTCTGAGAATTGAGCATCACTATAACTGGTTGTAATAATTTATTCTTTTATTGATGCTCACATAAATGACAATCATTTTTATTATGGCTCTTGAGAAAGTAGAACTCATATTTATTAGACATATTTAATTCAGCATCCCACACAGTGCTTATTCATAAGCATGCATAACACACTGCTACATGGAATAAAAATGGCAAGACAGTCCAGGCAACATTGAGAATTTGGAATGAATTATTATGGATTATCTGGTAAGGGATTTCAGGTGGTTCTCTTTCTATAAGAAATATTATTTTAGGCAGGAGGAGGCTTCCAGTAGGCATGCCACAGCTCCGAGCCCAGAGGAGACCTCCAGATCAGCGTGCCATGGCTCCCAGGCAGGAGGAGGCTTCCGGGTAGGTGTGCCATGGCTCCAAGCCCAGAGGAGACCACCAGATCAGTGCGCCACAGCTCCCAGGCAGGAG